AAGAGGGAAATTATAAAATAAAATAGAACGAAAGAAAATATTATTCTGCAATGTAAATGCTGCTGATCGTAGACTGTTGTTGTTTAGATGTTATTACCATTCTGTAAATTTCAATATAGTTGATGTGGTTTGAAGGTTTAATTAATTTAATCGCAAATAACCAGGAATAAGTTTATCAAGCGCCACGACGGATTGGAAAAATAATAGCAGAAGGCATGGTACAAGGAAGGAGGGGCAGGGGCCGACCGACACGAAGATGGGCACAGGAATAAGTGACTCCTTGAGTATGAAAGTACAGGAGATGGGAGAACTGGCGAGAGACCGAGTTTTTTTATGCAGACCGTGATGAGAGCGACGTTCTGCAAAGGACCTGCGACATGATGATGAAGTTAATCAATATTTATTCAGTTCATTGCGTGCAGCTCAGTCAACAATAAACAGGAATCCCATAACGTACTGGCAACGGTGCAAGAGAGAAGAACCTATGAAGTAAAAAGTAAATGTAATATGCAAACACTTACAATAGAATGAAGAAAGGAAGGATACAGCGGTAATAATGAAGCTGTAAAGACATCCGCAAAAAGGACCCTTTTCCACGCCATTTGGCGTATAGGACATACGGGGCTAGATCTATATTTTCATAGACCAAGCGGCACAAGATAGGTGATGTGGTCAGCATCACGCCGGTCGCCTTTACTTCCCGGGACTGCACCCAGTACCCACTCAAGGCTGGGTCGAAATGACACCCGCAAAGTAATAAATAAAACATACAATAAGGTCAATAGTGGATCAACTGGTAATAAGTGGGTTAGTGGGCAGATGAAGGTCACTTGGTGGGTTAGAAAAGGTCAATATGTGGTTCAAGGAGGGTCGAGAAAAGGCCAAATAAGTATGTCAAGTTGAATACGTTGGTCAAAAAGATTGTTGCGTATCCTTTATAGGACGTTACAGAACCAACCCCAGCAACCCCTGGCTGTTGTGTAGTTTTTCTAGGCAAATTTACGTCCAGTAGTTTGCCATTGCTTACTGGACGGTCGGCTTTCTTGATACCACTTTCGAAACCACCGCAAGGTGCATGGCCCGCAGCTGGGATCGAACCCGGCATCCCGGCTTCACGAAGCGTTCGCATCCACTTACGTTTGTCAAACGTGGTCAATTTATGGTTTTTTAAAAGTTCAATTGTAGACGTGCTGAAGGTCAATGGTTGGATAAAAGGTTGATGGTGGTCAGTAGGTGGGTCAAAATAGGTCAATTGTTTATGGGGGGGGGGGTCAACAACAACTGGTCAATAACAAGTTGGTGAGTGATAGGTGGGACACAAATTAAGTTCAAGTAACAAAGTCAGGCCCACTGTGATTGGACGTTCATTCATACATCTTAACCTTTGAGACGCATTAGTTCAAGTTATAGGGGAGTCAGGTTGTGTATGTATATGTCGGCGGACGGACATGTACACGTTGTGTTTTACTCACTGTTCTGGGCGATTGTGTATATTCTGGCGTTCTTGGACTTTTATTACAAAATGAATTTACTTCCCGTAGGGTGCAGTCTCTCGTGGGGCGTAGGCTGCGCCTTTGGTGGGGTGGGGGGGGGGGGGGGGGGTTAAGGCCAGTTCTAGATATTCTGGGGTCGTTAAAACCGGTCAAATACTGTAATATAGAGCACGCATGATCACCTGTCACAGTATCGACATAATACAACCGGACACCCCTGTAGCTTAGACTAATGGGTCTCAAAAGTTAAGATTTATGAATGAACGGCCAATCACGGTCTCCCTCGGCCCGACCTCGTTAGTTGTACCAAAAGTGTTTTTTTCTGGAGTCAGGCCCAACTACACACTGGTTGACCTTTCACTCATGCTTGCTCAGGTTGGTCTACTTAGAGGGGTATCGCATTGTACTGTTTACTTCTCGTGGGACCTAGGCTTAGGCTGTGGGTAGGTGGGTTTGGGTTAGGGCCAGTTCTAGATATTCCGAGGTCGTTAAAAGCTGTGTCATCGTGTAATATAGAACATGCGACATCGGCGCTGATGTAATTGACGACAAGACAACGTGACACCCCTCTCGCGTAGACCAGCCTTAGAAAGCACGGAGGAAAGCCCAGTTACGCTATGTTTGGGCCGGATTCAGGAAACAGGACAGTACCAAAAATTAATTAGTAGGGTAGATGGGTCAAAAATGGGCCATAGATGGTTATATTTCATCAATGAATGGGTCAGGTGGTTCGATAGGCCAATCCGGTGATATACAATGTATATGGCATTCAACACTCCCTCTTTCTTTTTCTGGTTGCGCACCATCCCTGACTGCTATTCTTTCTTCTTCTGGCAAATCCGTTCGACACCCTGGTTTGGCAATTTTGAAGTATGTATAATGACGACTACTTATGCTTTTCAAGGCACATAATGATGATAACATTTCCAGGAAGGATGGAGGGAGGGGGAGGGCCGCGCTGGAAGACACCCCCCCCCCTTCTCTCTCTCTCTCTCTCTTTCTACAAAAATGGGGAGCGGTGCTTGCGGCTTAGGAGACGAATTTAATATGTTCCCTGAAAGAGCTCCATGATGAAAAACTGGTATCCGGAAACTTTTCTGCCGGAATTTACAGGCGGTGAACGCATAGATATAGGCACACATATGTTAAAAGTAACGCTGTAATAAGTTAATAACACTGCAAATTAATTAAAGGTAAATTCGGGAAATGTGAACAGGCTATATTGCACACGGTTATTAACCATCAGTGCTCTGCCAGATGGACGGACAGTTGATAAGAAACTGTCCGTCTGTGTCGCCATCCACGCGAAACTCCGTAGCTACAGCGACGTTCCTCCATTTACCTTAGAGTGTTAACTCTGGTACCCATTATATAGAGGCTGGGTGAACCCCAGAAACCGTCCGGTTTCGAACACCGGCCGTGGGCTGCAGCAAGTCGTAGCTGGATTTGAAAGCGAGTCTTCTATCGACTGCGCCAACGCGGCCCTGAATTGATCTATGACAAGCTAGAGGTTGTGATGGCCCTTTGGGAGAGAGTGAACAGTGCGGATGTACAAATAGATGATTATGGTCTGAGAAGAATGACCTTGCAAGGAGTTACCAGGGGAACTGGCCGACGCTCAGTACCCCGGGGAAAGGCGAGACGAACGCACAATAAGACAGTTACTGATATCATCAAAATTTGAACTTTTCGCTTGCTGCTGAAGATGGGGACGGAGCGCTTACTGGAACTGTCCCGAGTGCAATGACGTCGATTCTCAATTCAACTGTAATAATCTAAAGAATGTGAAAAAATGTGGTAAGTAAGGCTGTACCGAATATTCGCTTCGTATTCGCTTCGGGGCCGAATAGTGGACCTATTGACTATTCGGTATTCGGCAGAATAGTTGCGATCGGGCCGAATACGAATAGCAGTTACCTTACACCCGCTTCTGCATACACGGCCTTAATACTGACAACATGGAACGATTGCTTTTGTTGAAAGCTAATGCAGTTTTCATGCATTAACTAAGCTGTCAGTGACAATTTCCAAGTTTAGTTACTTGTTATAATACTTAGGATTCTTTCATTCCTAGTTATTAGTTACCATAGACTGACTGAAGGATGCAAAACATTAAATGTTTTTAAATTTTTACTATTCCCTACGAATATTCCCTAGACATGGAAAAAATATAAACTCCAGCCACATCTAAGTCGATAATATGAAAATGAAAGGAAAGGAAACATATAAGTACTTGGGTGCAAACTTCAACTGCTCTAACATGCTGAGAAAAGAAATAAAATCTAGAATACAATCTATAAATAAAGTATACTATGCCCTTCAACATCTGCTAAGGTCCAAGTGTCTGTCTCGCAAACACCAAGATCAAAATATATAAAACGTTGATAAGACCAGTCGTTTTATGTGGCTCTGAAACTTGAAGCAGAAATAAAAGAGATGAGGCCTTATTACAGGTTTTCGAAAACAGTCTTACGACAAATCTTTGGACCCATCAAAGATGCAAACAGCGGGGAATGGAGAGTGAGAAGCAACAACGTAACTCATAATCTGTTTAAATCACCATTGATCACTGGCATCATGAGAGCTAACAGACTAAAATGGTTGGGGCATATTGAAAATATGTCAGATGACAGAGAAGTAAAACTGTATACACCTGAGAGAGGAATAGGCGTAGACCACAAGGGAGACAAAAAAGAAGATCGAGAGATAATGTCCAGCCAGACCTGCGAACAACTGGTGTCACAAACTGTGAAGAGAAGGCCAGCCAGAGAGGTGAATGGAGACGAGTGATATCTGCAGCCTTAAACTTAAGGGCTCGAATGCTAAAGAAGAAAATGACTATTCGGTGCTACTTTATGTGAAGTAAAGTTCAGCTTACATTTGACATTATGACTGGGTGGGTACCAGGTACAGTCTTAGGAAGTAAAGACGGTCGGCGTGATGCTGACCACATCACCCATGAAGTACCGTTTGGTCTATCCAATATACTTCTAGCCCTATATACCCAGTATATCTGAGGGCGTGGGGAAAAAGTCGTTTACTTTTTACTTTGTATACAGTCAGCATTATCATTTGTCCTCTTAAGATTTATTTCATTCCCGCTCAAATTTTGTGAGCGACGACCAGTAGTGTGAAAAGATATTAATAAAACGAAAAATAGAAACAGTCAGATTAACATTATCAAACGGCAAGCGAAAGCAGTGGCTAGCGAGCCTTCATTAGTACATTACATTTAAGTTATATCTCAGTTATTACCACAAGTACGGTATCTCCAACATGACGTGATGTAGTCATTGTTTGATCACGTGACCGGCAGTATCACGAACCCATCGTCGAGTGCTCCAACTGGCAGTCGTCTGCTGCTCTCTCAGACAGACCTCTATCACATTTGGACAATATATTCTCACTTTCTTCAACGTCTACTGGACATTTTGGTGTAGTTTTCCTATACCTCTACTCGAATATCGCTTGTGCTTTTGTTAAAGTGAATATTTTTCATTCAGAACAATGTCCAGTACGGATCATTCGTCGAAGAAAGGTAGCGATGATGCCGGCTCTAAGCAGGTGTCTATTGCTCGGCCCCGTGTTCGAGGGATTGATTTACTAAGGGATCCCATTTTAAACAAGGTAAATTGGCTGAATTTATAAATATAATCCTTTATTGTTATTTATTAAACGTGTTGTGTTGTTTTAAATCGGCTTTTGCTGCTGGATTTAATTCACTACATGATTTCTATTTCACTTTGCAAACAGCTCTGCTGTCCTCTAAATTTATTCCGTTCCCCCAGCGTCACCGTCTAAACGCTGGTCAGTACCTAATTGAATACCCATTAATTTATTTCTTATGTTACTAGTTCTGTCAGTTTAGACATTCTTCTTCTCATTCTTCTTCTTCTTGCTTGTTCTTGTTCTTCTTCCTCTTCTATTAAAGAATATCTGTTTTAACACGTTTGTGTGACCTGGAGTATAGTGAAACAAATCTGGCAAAAAAAAAATAAAACATTTATTATTTTGAAGATAAAAAAATTTACTCAATAGCCCAAATGAAATCCTGTACGATTGAACAGGATATTATTTTAAAAAACACTACTAAATATAACAACACAGTAGAGTGTTTAGGCGCTTGCCTGCTGGCCCAAAGCTCTTAGATATGAATCTGCAATGGGGCATATATTTTTCTAATTGATACAGGCCTCACAGGTTGATCCAACCTAAAGCTGCTACAAGGAAATGTCACGAGAAGTAAAGGCTGCAAAGATAATGTTGACCATAAGACCCACTGAGAGACATTTAGTCTGTAAAATATTCTGTCTTGTACTGTCCAGCAGGTGTGCCAGTGTCCAGTGAGTCCTCAAGTGTTTTTACTGTAACACAACCATTTAAATCGCATCTTGATGAGCATAGTTTCGACATCATCATCATCATGTGCCCTGCAAACTGGCATAGGCGCTCATGCGTTTCCACAGATCAAGATCCCTGGTTGCCTGGAACAACTGCCTTGATGATATCACTCCATGCCGTTTCAGCCCATCTAGCATCATCTTTCTTGGTCTACCTCTACCCCTTTCTCCACTGATCTTTCCAGTTGTCACAATGTTCTCCAATGTCTCTCTTCTCATTATGTGGCCAAAGAACAGTGTTTGTCTCTTTCTTATTGTTGTATATAGAGATATACTTTCATTAGCTTCTTTCAAGCAGTCGTTGTTAGTTACTCTGGTCGTCCAAGTTATGACATGCATTGGCAAATGTCAGCAGCTTTTAAAAGCCTGAACAACATGTAGAACTCTAAATTGTATAGTTTTAGAAGCGAGTTACATATTTTCAGTTCTAATGTTATTTCAGTTTTAACATATGCCAGGAAAAGTTCCAGAATCACTAAAGATATGGAAGAAAAGTTCCAGAATCACTAAAGATATGGAAGAAAAGTTCCAGAATCACTAAAGATATGGAAGAAAAGTTCCAGAATCACTAAAGACGTGGAACAAAAGTTAAGTGCATTTGAAAACAGATGCATGAGGAAAATGTTGAACATGAAAATGGATGAATTGAAGAGGGATGAAGAAATAAAAGAAATGCCTGGGCAATCACTGTTAACTGCAGTTATAAGACAGAAAAAAATGGCGCTATTTTGAACACATTCTGAGAAAGAGAAAAAAGCAGATCAGAGAATTACCTGGCAAGCACTAAAATGGGAAAAAAAAAGGTTTGAGGAAGTAAAGACTTCTAAAGAAAACAAACGTGGATGAGAGAAGCCAAGGGTGCTGGACTGAATTCCATCCATGATATATCAGGAGGTGTGCACACTATAGAACTGAATAGATTATTAGACTGAGCCTCATGAGACATAAAATGGCACAACAGAGCAACGATGATGATGATGAATGATTTTTAAAAAAAAAAGTAAAGGACCCTTTTCCACGCCTTAAGGCGTATAGGGCATAAAGGGCTACACAATAAAGTTGGTTGCGTATCCTTTACAGGACATTGCAGAACCAACCCTATTTGTGTGGTTTTTCTAGGCAAATTTACGTCCAGTAATTTGACATTGCTTTCTGGGATCGAACCCGGCATTACGAAGCGTTCGCATCGACATAGCCCAGAGCCAACTGATGAATGATAAGCATCGCTAAAACTACAAACACATAACCTGTTAGATCTTTGGCTATACGAACAGACAGATGTAATGGATTAGTGAAGCTTTAAGCAGTACTGGAAGAATAACTCTCAGAAATCCTAGATGGGATTTAGAAGGCATAGAAGCTGCTCAGATGCATTATTTACATTAAGAAAGAGCAGTAGAGTACGGAAAGATCTACAAAGTTGCCTTTGTAGACCAGGAAAAGGCTTTTGATAGAGTACATTGAAATATGCTGTATGAATGTTGAAAAAGATATAGAATTAGTAAACATCTTATTGAAGTTTGTAAGAGTTTATATACATCAAGTAAGTGCTTTGCACGAACAAATCAATTCAGCAGTATTATAGACGTGTGTTCTGTCTCCCCTAATTTTCATGACATACATTAAAAATACAGTAAAACCTCCTCGCTTAACGAGCACCACTCATAACCAGTAATTTGCATAACGAGCAAAACAAATTGTAAAAGAATGACTTGCTTAATGAGCGTCATTTCACATAATGAGTTGCGAGGAGGGAGAAAGTCCCGGTTTGTGCATGTTACATCAGTCTGTGTTTAGCACTCGTTCCATTAGCATTGTAGTGTCGTTTGTGATCATAAATTTTCTCAGACTTTTGTTATTTTGTGTTAGATGTACATGAATAAAATTAATTGAAATAATTATTAGGAAATAGATTTGTAATTTTGTTTGTGAAATGTTTAATAAACCCTTGCAAAAAAAAAAGTCCCCAAAGAGAAAAAGCCATAAGAGAGTAAAAATAACAAATAGAAATGACATATCAAATCATTGAAAAGTGAGAACAAGGTGTAAGCATGGATGATCTAGCAGGCACATTCAATCAGTCTACATCAACGATTTGCACTATCCTCAAGAACCAGGACAAGATAAAGGAGACTAATGCTTCACAGGGAGTGACAAGAATATCTGCGCAACGGTTACGTATTCTCGACGATGTTGAAAGGTTGCTTCCCAAATGGATAAATGAAAAGCAATTGCTAGGTGACACTTTTGACAAGAACATCATTTGTGAGAAGGCGAAAATGATTTTCATCTACCTCGTTAAAAAGACGCCAGGATCATCAACGGCCAAAGAAGAAGTATTTAAGGGAAGCCGTGGGTGGTCCGAAAAGTTCCAGAGGAGAACCGGCATCCCAAGCGTTGTGAGGCAGCAAGTTCTGACACAAAAGCAGCAGAGAACTTCAACGGTGATTTCAAGAAGCTTGTAGATTCTGAAGTTTACTTGCCACAACAAGTTTTTGATTGTAACGAAACAGGTCTCTTTTGGAAAAAGATGCCGAAGCGAAAGTATAAAACATCAGAGGAGAATGCCTTGCCCGGCCACATGCCAGTGTAAAACCGTCTCACGTTGCTATTTCGTGCCAATGCAAGCAGCGATTTGAAAATTAAGCTGCTGCTTGTTTACCATTCAGGAACTCCACGAGCCTTCAATAAATGCAAAATCCAGAAGAGCAGGCTTATATGGGAGGAGATAATCCATATGTCCTTTTTAAAATAAACGTTATAAATAGCATTTTGTGAGTATTTTGTCGACATGGAACGCATTCTACAATACATTCTACAAATATGGAAATGTGATTTAAAAAAAGAACAGAGATGGCCTGTGTGTGTGTGTATTTGGGGGACACACATCAATGCTTACTATGCTGTAAAGCATTTGTGGGTCTCTCTAGACTAAATGCTTAGGCCCTCCTCAATGCATCAATTGGAGTCAAGCCATTCCTGGTTTTTGTTCCTTCTGAGTAATCAACTGGTGGAAGGGTACTGAGTGTATAATGTTCTCTGCAGCAGCATTTGATTTATCACTAGCTTGCTAAGCATGTGTTTCTGTTTGTCTTTGTTTAATGTGTAGTTTCACAGCTTCAGTTATTACTACTCTAGTCTTGCTTGTCTTCAGGGCATGGCCTTCACGCTGAAGGAGCGACAGCTCCTGGGAATACATGGCCTGCTACCTCCAGCCATACTTGACCAGGATAACCAGGTGTACCAGGTGATGCAGAACTTCTTTAGGTGGGAGAATGATCTGGATCGATTCATCTACATGATTGGCCTTCAGGACAGGTCAGAGAAGCTCTTCTACAGGGTCATCAGTGAGAACATTGAGTTGATGATGCCGATAATATACACACCAACAGTCGGTCTGGCATGTCAGAAGTATGGCATGGTTTTCCGGAAACCTAGGTGAGAATAAGCTGCTTAGTGTTTGTCTGTAGAGTTAGATTTGTTTCATGGGTGGTAAAATTGGTTCATGTTGATCGTGTCCTCCTCCTTCTTCTCCCTTAGACTTGTACAAAACAAGTTTGGTGTACTCTGCAGCTCATCTTTGGGATCAACTTCCATGATTTCCAACCGTCAATGGATTTTTAACGTGTGCAAAACATCACGGGCATCCAAGCTTACTACTGAGAGACTAGGGAAAATTACTAGAAGTCCACATGAAAAAATCGCAGCCTTTACCAGGCCTTGAACCCAGTACCTCCAGTCCTTGAAGTGGACACCATGTCTCAAGACCATGCGGCCCTTCTATGTGAAATCTGAGAACATAGTGAATGAAAACACAAGGTACGATACATACTCAACTGAGGAAAAAAATTGAATGAAAGTGCAGATGTGATTAAAAAAACAAAGACTACAGAGAAAGAAAGTATAGATGCGATAAGAAAACAGAGAATTCAAGCACAGATGTGTTCATCGTGTTGCAGGAAATAGAAAAGAGTAACCTGACTGACAGCGCTGTCCGGGCAAAATTTAGAGTTAAAAATCTACCCAAAATATTTCAGGATCCTCGCCGGTGCAACAGAGTTTGTGCACTGCGCTGAGATTCTTAAGACTAAGGCTTGAGTTAGAAGTACAACAGAGCACTTATAGGTTACATCTGTGTGCCATGATGTTCATCCATCAAATAAACATTAACATCAGATTTCATATCACATAACAAGGCAACAAGCAGGCTGATAGATTAGCTGTTGTTGATCCTCTGGGAGGTGAGCTACTTACTGTTTGATAAAGCGGATGTGGTAAAAGCTGTATGGGATCAAATGGATGAAGTGCGCAAAAGAACAGATAGGGAATCCATACATTGAAAGACTAATTCAACGAGGAAGTGAGCAGAGGGTTCTAGAAGATATTCAACATTGAAGGGGAAACAAAGGTGGACTTTTAATCAGCTTACATCTGGTACTGTTAACATGTAGACTTTTCGTTGGCTACTGAAGAAGGGGACGGAGCAGGTGTGGGAATTTCCCAAGTGCAGTGATGTCAGTTCTTGATTTGATCATTCATTCATGTCACATCTGTACTTTCATTCACCCTATTCTCAATTGTTAGTATTTTACATCTGCACTGTCTTTCACTGTATTCTTAATTTTTTTAAATATAGCATCAACACTTTCACTCAGTCTGCTCAAATTTTACAACTGTACTTTCATTCACTCTATTCCAATTGATCGTACATAATTACATCATGTTTTATTCCATCTGTTCACCATTATTCATATATCACATCTATATTCCCAATTGATCCTACATAATTACATCTCCATGTTTTATTATATCTATTCTCCATTGTATCGGCTCTGTGGCTAAGTCGATGCGAAAGCTTCGGGATGCCGGGTTCGATCCCAGCTACGGGTAATGCGCCTTGCTTTGGTTTCGACAGTGGTATCAAGAAAGCCGACTGTCCAGAAGCAATGGCAAACCACTGGACGTAAATTTGCCTAGAAAAACCGCACAACAGCCAGGGGCTGTTGGGGTTGGTTCTGCACCGTCATGTAAAGGATACTTTCTGTTACTTGATTAATGTAAAGGATACGCAACTAACCTATATTCTCCATTGTTCAGATATCACACCTATATTCTCCATTGTTCATATATCACATCTATATTCTCAGTTGATCCTACAAAATTACATCTCCATGCTGAATTCTATCTTTTCTCCATTGTTCATATATCACATCTATATTCTCAGTTGATCCTACAAAATTACATCTCCATGCTGAATTCTATCTTTTCTCCATTGTTCATATATTACATCTATATTCTTAATTGATCGTACATAATTTCATCTCCATGATTTATTCTATCTATTCTCCATTGTTCAGATATCACATCTATATTCTCAATTGATCCTACAAAATTACATCTCCATGCTGAATTCTATCTTTTCTCCATTGTTCATATATTACATCTATATTCTTAATTGATCGTACATATATTTCATCTCCATGATTTATTCTATCTATTCTCCATTGTTCAGATATCACATCTATATTCTCAATTGATCCTACAAAATTACATCTCCATGCTGAATTCTATCTTTTCTCCATTGTTCATATATTACATCTATATTCTTAATTGATCGTACATAATTTCATCTCCATGATTTATTCTATCTATTCTCCATTGTTCAGATATCACATCTATATTCTCAATTGATCCTACAAATTACATCTCCATGCTGAATTCTATCTTTTCTCCATTGTTCATATATTACATCTATATTCTTAATTGATCGTACATAATTTCATCTCCATGATTTATTCTATCTATTCTCCATTGTTCAGATCTCACATCTATATTTCTCAATTGATCCTACAAAATTACATCTCCATGCTGAATTCTATCTTTTCTTTCCATTGTTCATATATTACATCTATATTCTTAATTGATCGTACATAATTTCATCTCCATGATTTATTCTATCTATTCTCCATTGTTCATATATTACATCTATATTTCTTAATTGATCGTACATAATTTCATCTCCATGATTTATTCTATCTATTCTCCATTGTTTCAGATATCACATCTATATTCTCAATTGATCCTACAAAATTACATCTCCATGCTGAATTCTATCTTTTCTCCATTGTTCATATATTACATCTATATTCTTAATTGATCGTACATAATTTCATCTCCATGATTTATTCTATCTATTCTCCATTGTTCATATATTACATCTATATTCTTAATTGATCGTACATAATTTCATCTCCATGATTTATTCTATCTATTCTCCATTGTTCATATATTACATCTATATTCTTAATTGATCGTACATAATTTCATCTCCATGATTTATTCTATCTATTCTCCATTGTTCATATATTACATCTATATTCTTAATTGATCGTACATAATTTCATCTCCATGATTTATTCTATCTATTCTCCATTGTTCATATATTACATCTATATTCTTAATTGATCGTACATAATTTCATCTCCATGATTTATTCTATCTATTCTCCATTGTTCAGATATCACATCTATATTCTCAATTGATCCTACAAAATTACATCTCCATGCTGAATTCTATCTTTTCTCCATTGTTCATATATTACATCTATATTCTTAATTGATCCTACAAAATTACATCTCCATGCTGAATTCTATCTTTTCTCCATTGTTCATATATTACATCTATATTCTTAATTGATCGTACATAATTTCATCTCCATGATTTATTCTATCTATTCTCCATTGTTCAGATATCACATCTATATTCTCAATTGATCGTACAAAATTACATCTCCATGCTGAATTCTATCTTTTCTCCATTGTTCATATATTACATCTATATTCTTAATTGATCGTACATAATTTCATCTCCATGATTTATTCTATCTATTCTCCATTGTTCATATATTACTTCTATATTCTTAATTGATCGTACATAATTTCATCTCCATGATTTATTCTATCTATTCTCCATTGTTCATATATTACATCTATATTCTTAATTGATCGTACATAATTTCATCTCCATGATTTATTCTATCTATTCTCCATTGTTTCATATATTACATCTATATTCTTAATTGATCGTACATAATTTCATCTCCATGATTTATTCTATCTATTCTCCATTGTTCAGATATCACATCTATATTCTCAATTGATCCTACAAAATTACATCTCCATGCTGAATTCTATCTTTTCTCCATTGTTCATATATTACATCTATATTCTTAATTGATCGTACATAATTTCATCTCCATGATTTATTCTATCTATTCTCCATTGTTCATATATTACATCTATATTCTTAATTGATCGTACATAATTTCATCTCCATGATTTATTCTATCTATTCTCCATTGTTCATATATTACATCTATATTCTTAATTGATCGTACATAATTTCATCTCCATGATTTATTCTATCTATTCTCCATTGTTCAGATATCACATCTATATTCTCAATTGATCCTACAAAATTACATCTCCATGCTGAATTCTATCTTTTCTCCATTGTTCATATATTACATCTATATTCTTAATTGATCGTACATAATTTCATCTCCATGATTTATTCTATCTATTCTCCATTGTTCATATATTATACTATATTCTTAATTGATCGTACATAATTTCATCTCCATGATTTATTCTATCTATTCTCCATTGTTCATATATTACATCTATATTCTTAATTGATCGTACATAATTTCATCTCCATGATTTATTCTATCTATTCTCCATTGTTCATATATTACATCTATATTCTTAATTGATCGTACATAATTTCATCTCCATGATTTATTCTATCTATTCTCCATTGTTCATATATCACATCTATATTCTCAATTGATCGTACATGATTTCATCTCCATGATTTATTCTATCTATTCTCCATTGTTCATATATCACATCTATATTCTCAATTGATCGTACATAATTTCATCTCCATGATTTATTCTATCTATTCTCCATTGTTCATACATCCCATCTGTATTCTCAATTGTCTTGGCAAATACAGATTTCTGTGTCAATAATCATCAGTGAATTGAATAGCAGAAGGAGTAGGAAATAAGTGGGAAGTAAGAGAAAAAAAAAATAGGCCTATTAAGATTTAAACATCTAAAAATAAAATCCACTGGTTCTTAGGGCTCTCTCCTAAACATTTCACACATATAGGGCCCTTGTACCCATAGAAACCACTGTAATATTCACGTTGGTGGTACTTTGAACTTCTGGCTGGGTCAAACATGTGACACCCATAAGTGAATGACGAGTTAGGAAAGCCCTCTCTAACACCCATAAACCCTGTTTACCGTGTGCAGAAATATGGTAATGATTAGCCCTCGCTGGAAAGAACCGCATTTCACCGGCGGTCACCAGCATCATACACCTCTTAAAGGTTAGTTGCGTATCCTTTACAGGACGTTGCAGAACCAA